TATATATGTTTCTGGGGAGGGGGCGGTTTAAAGCTGTGCTTGTTTTAATAGAATTTTCCCTCTTTATTCTTGTAACCAGAAAAATTGGATATGACTTTAAAATTTACTGACTCTTCTATTAGAACATAAAGTGCCTATAACTACCTATTTTCTTTTAAAAGCTTCCAAATAAGGGAAATTGGCCCCAGGCTGATCATTGCTTCAAAGTTTTGTGGTCCTACACAATCTGCCTGATTTTAAATAGTAATCAGAACCCTTAGTAGCTGCTCTCTTATTTTGACTCGAGTGCATAGCTGTTATTTGTGGGAAGTTCAGCCTCAGGGTGTTGGGCCACCATACTAGAAGCAGAACTTTCTTGAAATTGATGGGAAAACAAACAATGGATGTGGCTGCCTACTCTTGTAATACTAGACCTGGAGCTGGGGAGCTGGAGTCAGGAAGATCACTGGGGCTCACTGACTAGCCATCCCAGCCTATGGGGTGAGTTCCAGGCCAGTCAGAGACCCTGTCTCAAAAAAAAATGGGTATCTACTAAGATAAAACTTATGAGCTTGTCCTCTGGCCTTCACACACATCGTGTGTCCCACATACGTAACAAATGTGTGCACACATATACACACACAAATAAATAAATACAATTTTGACAGAAAAAAAAGAGATAGAAATTGGTGCTTGACCCCATATGAAAGCTCCTCCACTGAGGCCGGGTAGCCACGCCTCTTGGGTTCCTGGCAGGTTGTGTGGCCATTCTGGGCCACAGTTATTGTGGTTCTCAAAATCTGCTCTTTCTCTTGGTATCCACCTGACCAATTACATAGTATCTGCATTGATATTTTCACCAAAATATCCCCGGGACCTTGAAAAGAACTTGACAAATAAGTGTTTATCTGAACATGTGAATGAGGTTTATCAAATTATCGCCAGATTTATTTTTTCAGTCTGATAATACCACTATGAAACTCCAAATATAGCAAAAACTGAAAACCTGCACCAAAACAGTATAAATATTACTGTAAATATTACTACAGTCCTGCTAATAATCTTTAGAACTAAAAAACTTTAAATCTTTAAAGTACATTTTTGTTAAATGTGTTATCAAAACCTAGGTTTAATTAGAAAAATAAAATTAATAGGTGGAAGAATTTTTGTGGTGAATTCTGAAAAATGTCAAAGGCCCAAGAGGTTAATGGTATTGTTCCTATGTAGAATTTTAATTTAAATCAAATAGCTTTCTTTATTTCTATACAGGTGGAAATCTATTTTAAGTAGGAAACAAGGAGAGAGCCGAAAAGTGTGGAGGAAGACAGAAAACTTCAGAGTTAGAGTGAGACTCCAAGTAATAGCTGCTCTGTGGCTGCCGGCCATTGCCTGCTGTTCCAGGGCAGGAAACCATAGGGCAGGAGGCAGCCTGGTCCATATGCGGCTCCAGCTTATACTCTCTAGGACATCCTTCAGGGGCAAGATTGTTGGGTTTATGGGCCAACAAGGTAGCTCAGTGAGTAAAGCATTTGCCATGAAGCCTGACAACCTGAGTTCAAACCCCGGAATCCACAATGTGGAAGAAAATTGACTCCCCCAAATTGTTCCCTGACCTCCACATGCACACACACACATGCCCACATACAATAGATAAATAAAATGTAATTCTAAAAAGTTTTAAGATTGTTGTTTCAAAACCTAGGAATGGGGCAACCTGAAGATCCAGGAATAGATGAGGTAATCCCAGGGAGGAACCTAGTGAGACCTCAGTGTCAGGCATGGGAAAAAGAAGATGGAAGGAGGCTGAGCCAGACACTTTTTAAGTTAGGAAAATGGGGGAAATAGGATGTATACAGATACAAGTCTTTGAGAAGGCAAAAATATTTATTCTTGAGCTAGATCTTCTGTTACGTGGCATCTTTCTGTCCATTGTTATGTATAAATTGGATGACAAAAAAATAGTGATATTGAGTGATCTTATGTTCTTTAAGGCAGGGCGTTGTGATGCATGTTTTAATCCCAGCACTTGGGAGGCAGAGGCAGGCAGATCTCTGTGAGATGGAGGCCAGCCTCGTCTCCATAGCACCACAGCAAATCAGGCCAGCTGTAGTTACAGGGAGACCTTATCTCAAAAAGACCAAATATATAT